AATGCTGTCAAAAGCATCCTCATCCGCTGAAATGTAGATCTCGGAGCATCCAGCTTCTGGGCAGCATCAGTACTGATGCTCCAGTCGTAATTTACTGTTGCTGTCAAAAGCAACCCCATCCACTGAAATGTAGAACTCACAGAGGGTCAAGCTCCTGGACAGCATCACTACTGTTGCTCCAGTCGCAATTTACTGTTGCTGTCAAAGGCAAACCTATCCACTAAAATGTGGATCCCACAGGGCATCAAAGCTCCTGGAAAGCATCATTACTGATACTCCTTCTGTAATTTACTGTTGCTGTCAAAAAGCAAACATATCCACTGAAATGTGGATCCCACAGGGCATCAAGCTCATTGAAAGCATCAAAACCAAATAATACAATCGTTGTAAACAACATGTTTACTAAGCCCATTGGCTAGAGCATTCTGTCCCAGAGGCGCATAGCAGCGTATATGCTATCGCATAAATCAAATTGCATAACACTATATCCTGTAACTCAGGTACTCTACTTTAGACTCTCGCCATCTTCGCCACGATCTAGTTATTTGTGCACAATTGCACGTTTAAGCCTTCAAAACTTTTACTGTTTCATAATAACATACGGTGAACTGCAACGAGTTCCTTCTAGGTTGAACTTCCGTGTCCTTATAGAGACCACTTACCTTCTAGTTATTTGTGCACAATTGCACGTTTAAGCCTTAAAAACTTTACTGTTTCATAATAATATACGGTGAACTGCAACAAGTTCCTTCTAGGTTGAACTTCCAACGTGTCCTTATAGAGACCACTTACCTTCTAGTTATTTGTGCACAATTGCACGTTTAAGCCTTCAAAACTGTACTGTTTCATAATAATATACGGTGAACTGCAACAAGTTCCTTCTAGGTTGAACTTCCAACGTGTCCTTATAGAGACCACTTACCTTCTAGTTATTTGTGCACAATTGCACGTTTAAGCCTTCAAAACTTTTACTGTTTCATAATAATATACGGCGAACTGCAACGAGTTCCTTCTAGGTTGAACTTCCGACGTGTCTTTATAGAGACCACTTACCTTCTTGATCAATACATCTGCCATAGTCAATTGAGGACGTGTCAGTATAAAAAACACACACGGTGTATGACCTTCTAAGTATTTACTGTTACATGCAATCCTCACCACTTCCTGGTTATCCGCTCAAATCTTTCCTAATAACAAACAGTGAGCTTCATCGAGTGCTCGCCAGGTTGAACTTTCAACAAGCTATACAGAACACTTACCACATACACTCTTACCTTCTTGTTTAACATTATAAACCACCATGGCCGTCATGGCCGCAATGTACGGAAACATGGCGTAGTCCCATTCATGTGCATTAAATTCCTAACTCGCTTATCTAACATGATGAAAAACAGGCACAAATATACCTATTGTGGAATTGCAGTGTTTTACTGATTCCTTCAAACATGCACGGTTTGAAATAGCTCTAGATTTAAATAAATCGTTACCAGCTTTGATTTCATCGAT